GGGGGTTGGGATGCATCCGCCATCAGTCATTCACGAGAGGTGGCTCTCGACAGGTTTGCATCAAGCGTCACCGCCTTCGAACACGGAAAAGGCGCGTCGGAGCTGCTGCTCGGCTCTTTTCTGGCGACAAGACCTCATCCCAGGTGAAATGCTTCTTGAGCAGTGCAAAAAAGCGCTTGTCGGCCTGTTCAGTGGTGGGGCAGGGTGGAAGGAAAGGTTGATGCAGGGATCTTTTAGCACCTTGCAACCCGATACAGAGCTCGACTTTTGCCAATGGATGGTGCTCACCTTGCGTCGCTGCTGATAGCAGAACTACACAACCCATTTGACGCGAGTCGCATGGCCAAGATGACGGTCAGCGCGCAACCGATGTAGTCGTATTCGACAGCAGCCGACTTACCAAGATGAGCGTGTCGGAGTTGCTAAGCTGCACCATAGTGTCCACGAGCGGCTGAAAGGCCGACTCGAGGTATACACAGTCTGTCACGACAAAGGGGATCCACTATGAGATGTGTACGCACTTTGCGACGCCGTTTTGTCTACTTCACGTACCTGCCAACAGCAGGACGTCGGGCTTTGAGGGGATCGAGGCCCTTGCAGGGAGACCCCAATCTAATTGCTCCACTTTACAATTGGCCACCGCAGGCTGATTCAAGGCGTGATTGAGGTCCATGACATTCAACATGGCCCTAAACGTCCCCATTCCCAGCACGGTGCCGTCAATGCCTTAGCTGCTCTTCGCCCAGGCGCTTGAGGCCCTGCCTGGAGGACCTCGCCTGCACTCACTGTTGATCCGTCACCCAAACTCGAGCTTGAGGAAACCTCATAGCAGCCAAGAATCCCACCAAGCCGGTCCCGCTTCCCAATTCTACGATTGTACCGCTCCTCCAATCTCCATCCTGTGCGCCGCCCTGCAACATTTCCAGCTCGTCGCTGGCCAAGTAAGCGCCAAGCACTTCCGCAGCTGGCCATATCCTCCCTCCACATCCCTCCGTCACATTGATTCTGAGTTTGATACGTATCGCATCTTCTTCTCGCCAGTCTTGTGGTGCTGATGACGTATCAGCCGCTCTTGCTGTGCTGACATCCTCCACCGAGTGAGATCCGTAGCGCACCACAGGTCTAGAGCCGTCCCTGGGATAAATGACCAGAGCAGGTTCGTCGATCTCGTTGATCTGAGCCGAAGCTGAAGTGCCTACCAGTGGAGAAGAAGGTGGAGAGGATAAGGGAGTACCAGGCACTTCGTCCTTGAAGTCGAAGCCTAATTCTTGCCCCAATGCCGGTAGCGTCATCATCGCGACTTCTTTTACCACCAAGGTGGCCATGCTGTCCCTGATAAGCTTTCGAGTCTGGACAAAAGGATGCGCGCTTCGAAACCGTCGCGTTGAGTCCAAGGAACAGAGAATGTCGGTGCGAGTGGTCCGGACAGCTTGCGTATTTTGTCCGAGGGAGGCAAACAGCAAGGAGTATGCGAACGTCCAAGGCTGCTGAATGTACTTGTGCCCTCGTAGATGATCCGAGCTGATCAGGCAAGGAGGAGTGAGTGCAGTAGTGAATGTCGTGAGTGCTGTTGCTGTTGCCGCTGCGCAAGCCACAGGCACAGTAGGGTACGTTGCATGCACAAGCCTTAAACATGCGCGCTGCTTCTCCACACCTTGATCCCGCTGGATCGCTCGCGCGTGTCGAGCATCACGTCATCAGCCGTCGCAACATGCCCCGCGTGCCCACATCGGTCTGTTTCATGAGCGCGTCGCACTAAAGCCCTGCGCCATTCACAAGCACCCTATCGATGTTATTGCACATCCACCCTTGGGCCCACTTCAATCCTGAAAGCCTCTTGCCCGCCACTCGTCGACATGCTCGTTGCAAACAGCCGCTCTTCTCACAACGGGACCTGCGCATCGGAAATCATATCCGCATCCACACAAGCAGCGACGAGTCTATCCGACTTGCACTGAGCGAGACACACAATAATCGCGTCAGTGGCTCCGCCCCGTGCGAAACAGGAGAGCGCAATCGCACAATGTATGCATTTCGAATGCGCATCTCGATGTGTCGGGCAGAGATGAGCAGGCAAAGAGGTGGAGGAGATGTGGTGCAAATGCGTGTGGGGCTAATGTTTTGATTCATGATGGTGATGAGGAAGAGTCACAGGCCGATGAATCAGAGGGAACCCCAAGATCAGCACGATCGGTAACATAGCTGTTGCCGCTGTGCTCTGAATCAAGCATGAGGTGCAAATAAAGAAGGCAACTAGAAAGTATAGAAGAGATGATGCTGTGGACCATGGCAAAGCCCCGACGAAGTCCAATCGCATGCGTCGGCGTAACCCCTTAGAGCAAGATTGCGGCGCCCATCAGGACGCTGACGAGAGCGACAGCAGAGGAAGCAATGGGCCGAATGGAAGATGCACCGCTAGATCCGCCACTGGTGTTACTGTTGCTGGTAGTGTTGCCACTGGTGTTGCTGTTGCTGCTGGCGGAGCTGCTGGTGGGTCGACTGGAGGAGGTGGTGGAGCTACCGGAAGAGCTGCTAGAGCTGCCAGACGATCTAGTTTGGCTAGAGCTGTTGGAATTGCCTCCAGCGCTGGCATTACCTCCAGACGAATCAGGACTAGAAGCTCCGTTGACCAACTTTCCCTCTCCCCACGGAATGGAATCTCCCTCGGGTTGCTTGTCGTTAGGAGGCGGAACGGTGCTTCCGTCTGCCGAAGCGATGGTGAAGCGAGTGCACCAGGTGGGATTGGCCCCGTCAGAGTCGGTGAACTGGTAGAAGTAAATGGCGCTGTACGGTTCGACCTCTGGGCATGTCCACGAGAAGGAGGTCTGCGTAGTACCGTCGATATTGGTCGCAATATCCTCCAGCTTCGTCATGTGCTGGTTCGTGCCCGTCATGACTGCAACCGTGGGCAGGGCAAAGTGTCAGCGAACCGTACTTATGCTTCTATAGCGGACATCTCCGTTGTGGCCCAGTCCCCATATGCTCGCTCCACGCAGCCAGTCACACGTTGACTCGTCTACCCCCCCCCCCCCCCC